ATAGAGCAGAGGAGAGCCAACGGCGAAAGTGATATACCACTCCCGATGGTGATGATCATCATAACGAATCCTTCCTCGATGCGGCCGAGCGCCTATCTTTCGGGAGGTCATAGTATATCATACCAATTGCAATTGGCGTTAAACCACCAAGTACAGGCATCCATGGTAAGGGATAATAAGGAGTGAAAGCCGGAATGACACCGAGGAAGAATAACTGGATAACACTCGCCATTCCACCAATCTTGAAGTACTTCCATACACGGCGATCGCCCCAAACGTCGGAGAGGAAGGTGTTGGCCCACGGGGCAAGGCTAAAGGTGCACTGCAGGAGGATGAAGAATAGTACTGGCAACCATTGCCATACAGGCAAATCGATCGGCCCAGAAATCGGTATCGCAAATGTAACTAGACAGATGAGTGATGAGAAGCAGGCAGTGAAGGCGGTCAGGTAGAGCTTGGGGTGTGGTATCTTCAAGATACTATCTCGATAATAAGTGAATCCTTCCAGAAACAGAAAGCGGCGTAGTATACCACAGCTCACCGTGTCACTTCGTAGGAATCCAACGAGTTCTGGGGAATACTCGGGAAAGCCTGTTATACGCTCATGAGCGGCACTCAAGGCTACACTGAATGATTCCGAATACCTTCTAGCCAAAGATGGACGTCGCTGAAAACACACGAGTCTTAGGCTGGGACTGGTTGATTCACCGAAGATCACTTCCACTAAGTTATTCGAAATGCGAACAAACCCACGGCAATTGAAGGTGTGCTAGACCTAGACTCTCTAGTATGCATCTCAACATCGAGCCTTGAAGATTAGTAACAACAATACGAGTGGGAGTTAATAGGCTGAGAACATTTTTCTCTGAACAATAGTATCAGAGACAATATGTACGCTGAGTGCTTACTTTATTTTCTGCCGCGTTGAAAGTGTCCGGACCAAGAGACGAGCAGCTCTCCGCAGATGGTACTGCCGTTCGACCACCCACAGGGCCGGTGCGGTCCCGTGACGTTTGTCTAAAGCGAGGGTCTTCCTATGACCTTAACACTGGTTCGAATCTTACGGGGCCGAGGATAGCGTACTATCTCGGTGAGTAGTAGCGTTTTGGTTATCGGAGCTCATATTACGTTCAGAAAATCGAACTAAAGAAATCTATGCTCACCCCGTATATAAAGCGCTGCCCGGGAACTCAGCTCGACTGATGGACTCGTCCTGGGACCTCTGATGCCAGGGACTTGAAGTCCAGCCTTTCTCGATATTACCATAAACGAAATCCGCTACAAGTCGAGAAGCACAACGGCTCTAGTCGATGCATTGCAGACGATCAGTGAATGGCATTCATCACTCGCGGGGGGTCGAAGGGAAATTTCCCGCTCGACCCAGCTTTCGTTCTTACTTGGTCGACCCGTTGCGACCAGCTCTGGTGGTCAGACGAATGCTACTTAGCTCGGCGTCAGGTCGAGATCCGAAATCATTCCATCAGAAGAGCACCCAGCTTTTTTCACTGAAATACTCTGATGGACTCAGCTAACCTTCGATTCTCTTACTAAACAGAAGAGAATCAATGCTAGATCTCGACTAAGCTTGCTTTTCTAAACGATCTACGACAAGGACCTATTTGAGTTGGGGCACTATCTCGACCGATCAAGCCTTATCGGTAATGCGTTATCCATTCTTATCGGATCTTCGCCCATGTGCTTGGGCGAGACGTGAGGCCTCAACGAACTTCCGCCTCGGAGACGGCGTCTCTCTCCTATGCCGATACCCAACGTGAAGGAAATGAGCCACTCACGACGACTTGCTGCTCGATACCAATCTAATCACATCTCCCAACGGAGGAGCCAATGTGAGGCTTCCTGCGTCGAAGTCAGAATAGGTTCGTTCACTCCAGAGTATTTCGCGGTGAATACTACACCTTTCCCCGTGCAAGTTTGACAAGTGAGCAGACAAGAATGACAATGTTACAAGCAAGTTTGACGTTGAGAATTCAAGTTTGACACTGGCAGAATATATCAGTAGTGACATTTCGGATCTCCCGCTTGAAACGTTGTCGTCAGGCAGTTGACTATCCCCATTATACGGAATTCCAGCCTATCGGCAGATTCGTCTCAGTAGATAGTGACAGCTCAATGAACCTTCATATACGATGTAACCACCGATGACGATGTTGGTTCGGGAAATGACATTTATCAGGTGCCACAAGTTCAGGCTTAGGTTCACCTGAAGGCAATATGTCAGGTGTACTCGGCCATGATGCTTGGCATTGCCGAGTTGGCAATTCAATGTAAAGCACAATGCGATACAACCCTATCGTTCCCCCGAGTGGAAGCATTCAGAAGTATGGCTTCAATCACCAAAACAACCGAGCACTTCGCTTTCTGAACGCACCGCGCTAGTTTCGTTGGTGTACCAGTGGGAGAGTACCACGACAATGCATACACAGCCGTTGGCTTTTGCAAGCTCGTTGAGTTCAGCTCGAGGAGGTAACGTTAGTGGCACTGCCACTGTGGCAGCTCTAGACCAGTCCGAAGGCGCCTCTCTGCTATTCTACATGTTGTGCGATTCCTTATCCTATTGGGCTTGTTCCAGCTGATGCCGAATGCTCGAGACTCAGTGACATAGATCCATCTCAGTGACCCCTTCCTCGTGGCTCCTAGCCTCTCGCCATCGAGTGGCTGTTTTCAAGGGAGACGTTAAACCCAAACCAGTCACCTTCACGCCGGCGAAATGCACTCGTGACATCATGCGTGCAGAGTTCGAAAAATACGTCACGGTCGAGGCCGACCCGGTGTCTTTAGCCTCAACGAGCCGAACCTGGGCACAGGTGGAAGGTGCCGTACACGGTGCGAACCCGACGAGCACCAGAGGTGGTCCAAGCCAGGTATGCATCTGACCTTCTCAATAGGTCGACGCAGTGACTGCGAACGAACACGACTGTATGTGCACTCCCTGCTCAGACATGCTGCTGGTGGATCATGGCTGATGATGGGAGTAGGATCGGGCTCGTCGTGTATCACTTGAAGACTCACCTTGTCCCTCAAGCGCATATAGTACATATCTCCGTGAAGGACGTCACATTGACAGAGATGGTGAGAGCCGACTCTACGCCGCTTCAATGGGTTGCCTCTCGCTAGGTTGTAACGAGTCTACGTGTTCACATCTTCGAGCGCTACCCTGAAGTTAGCTCCATCAGAGCTACCCTATGGTCACAAGACGAGACCGTGGCGCGCGACATACCTTATTCGTAGTTACACTGAGACTCCAACGGCAGAGGACGATCCGAAATATGCAATAGATGAGAAAATCGAGGGAGCGTAGGCGTACCATCTGCTCTGCTTCTCAAATAGTAGAAGGTTTGCGGTTCCGCACTCCCAAGGACTATCGGAGCCGTTGATGCGACGAATCTCGAATCTCTGTTTTTGTGGCTTGCGGAAGGGGCCATTCCGTCGTGGATGTCGTTTCTCTTTATAGGAAGCTATTTGAAGCTCTCGCGAAAGACATCTGTATAGTGCGGACTGTTTAGATTCAAACGAGCTCATTTCCGGTGGTTTCAGCTGACACAGGAAAGTGATGGCAGACGTAGCCAAGGTTTCAACATAGGCAGACGTGGCTGATTCGCTGATTTCTTCATTCCGACCTCGGATGAGGAGTTGGTTCTGGCGATGTTGTGGAATTGTCCTTCTCTCTCATCCTTTATTATATGAGTATTTTTCAGGTGTTGAGGTTCCAACATCTAATGGTGACACCTCCGAGACTGAAGAAACTCGAGGGAAGATGACTGGTTTGGTAGAGTTCAAGCGTTTGAGCATCATGCCCCAGTGTTCCACGGATCGTACCCTGGGCTTCTTGACTGAACCTGTGGTGAGCGACCCAGCAGCTGGGTCTCAGCTGCCGTGGGCTGACCCCGACGAGTTCTTTCTCTTTCAGGAACCATCCAGAGTGGAGAGGATGTGTCTTGACGAGCCCTTCATCATTGCTCTTTGCCACGCGTCTCTAGATGATCTCAATATTCCGTTGCATGCTTCTCTTGTGTGCCCTGAGTCGGAAATCTCATCATCACGCTGATTTCATGTATTTTTGTTGTGTTGCGCGCGAGTTTGTCTCATGGCATTAATCATGGAATATTGTCCACATGTTCTTCGGGTATGTATGCGGTAACTCTCGGACAGAACTTCCGTGTATTGATATACTTCTAGTTGCGTTCCCTCATATCACGCGTTTGTCGAATTTTTGAGGTCACTTTCTCACAAGAGCTCGGCATAGCTGTGTAACGATTCACAGCCTGGCTCTGGGCCTCAGACCTACTCGAAGGATTGTTCTGCAACCGATAAACTGAGCCGGAGTATTCAAGATAAATTCCTAACCCTGCAACAGCGATGCCGTCCAAGCGTTCCACGTGATACTTTTTCAAGCAACGCAGCCTCATTATGGTTACGCCAAAGTCATGCAAATCATCGGCATCCTGTTGACTCAGGATACCACATCACTACTCCAGCAGATAGCTCTGCAGGCGACCATCTCAATTTTCATACAAGCTTCATCACAATATCAGCAAACTTCATCGATTGTTTCATTGCCGACAGTATAGCAGTTCCCACCATGCCATGTCACGTTTTCCTGGCCTATCCACTTAAAGTCGAATGGAACCGTCATACCAGCATTCGAATATTGGAGGACTATATAGAAAGACATCAAAGCAATCTGGACAGAGATGAAAGGCCAAAAGAAGCGATACATTAATCGAAGGAAGATGGATATGGCAGATTCCTGGTACCACCGCTTCATGGCGACTACGAGTAGCATGAAAACACCAACTTCAGCCACGATATCGACCAACAATCTCCGAATACCACGCATAAACTCCTCGTCAGTCATATCCCAGAAGGTGTCGTGGAGCTTCGGATTCACGGAACGTAGGACAACAAAGCATATCAAATAGTGTATGGGAGCGAGGATCTCCATTGCTTCCTTGCATATAGCGATACTCATGATAGAGAGTGGGCGCCTAGCGGGTTCCCCATCTTCTGGTATCTCCTCGCTCCTCATGTTGGCATCGAGATCTTCCACCACCCCGTCCAAGTTGCCTTTCCGAGATTTCTCGACAGATTCGCTCTTCGCACAGTCATTAGCGATGAGCCCTGCTTCCGGCCGAACAAAGTGAGTTTGCCCTCCGAGAGGACCCGTAAATGAGTATGATGTACTCATAGTAGAGGTTCGTCGAGCCATCCTCCTACGATCCGCAGTTTTGAGGAGGTCTTCGGAGACTGGCTGCTGCAGGCCGAGTATGTTTGAACCGGTACCAACTTCTGGATCCACACCGATGCTCCCGTATGCGGGTGGCTGTATTCGCGAGAAGCCCGGATCATCTATATCGCATGCGGAATGCGTTCTGGTTGGCCTTCTTGGTCTTTCCCAAAACACGTCTGACTCAAGCTGACCAAGAGCGTGAGATGCATTGAGCGACGACCCTATTGGATGCCCCTCGTCATTGCCCTGTATGGCATCTTCGCTTCTTTCAGCGTAGTGGCATCCGTAATCCACGAAGCCATTCTCGTTGAGTTGCGTTGCTTCATAGGAACTACTCGAGGGAAGCTCGACAATCGTGAATGGTAGCTGCGTCCGGTCGGCATCCTCAGGTCGTTCCATACTATCGTTATCCATGCTATGTGAATCAAAGTCTCCAACTTCGACGGGAACTTGGCAGACTTCATTGCTCTTCGGAACCGATGGTCTGACAATATAGCTACAGTAAATATAATAGAGGTTCTCAGCGAGGTCTAGAGCGATCAGTAGGAAGGCCAGCCAGGTGTGGCTGACAGAACTAATGACGGACGCAGTAAAGAACTCATAAGCGTACATGGCGAACAAACTTATTAAAGGATAACAATCAATGCAATATAATCTTGCGTAGTGCTTGGCAGCTATCTCAAAGACTCCCCTGAAGATGTAGAAAGATAGGAAAACAAGCATCTTCACCAAGCCGACGCTACTAGATGAAAAGTGATAGAGCAGAGGAGAGCCAACGGCGAAAGTGAATATACCACTCCCGATGGTGATGATCATCATAACGAACTCCTTCCTCGATGCGGCCGAGCGCCTGTCTTTCGGAAGATCATAGTATATCATGCCAATTGCAATTGGTGTTAAACCACCAAGTACAGGCATCCATGGTAGGGGATAATAAGGAGTGAAAGCCGGAATGACACCGAGGAAGAATAACTGGATAACACTCGCCATGCAACCAATCTTGAAGTACTTCCATACACGGCGATCGCCCCATACGTCGGGGAGAAAGGTGTTGGCCCCACGGGGCAAGGCAAAAATTACACTGTAGGATGATGAGGAATAGTACAGGCAACCATTGCCATACAGGCAAACCGATCGGCCCAGAAATCGGTATCGCAAATGTAATTAGACAGAGGAGTGATGAGAAGCAGGCAGTGAAGGCGGTCAGGTAGAGCTCGGGGTGTGGTATCTTGATGATAAGTGAATCCTTCCTGAAACAGAAAGCGACGAAGTATACCACAGCTCACCATGTCACTTCGTAGGAATCCAACGAGTTCTGGCGAATACTCGGGAAAGCCTGTTATACGCTCATGAGCGGCACTCAAGGCTACACTGAATGATTCCGAATACCTTCTAGTCAAAGATGGACGTCGCTGAAAACACACGAGTCTTAGGCTGGGACTGATTGATTCACCCAAGATCACTTCCACTAAGATATTCGAAATGCGAACAAACCCACGGCAATTGAAGGTGTGCTAGACCTAGACTCTCTAGTATGCATCTCAACATCAAGCCTTGAAGATTAGTAACAACAATACGAGTGGGAGTTAATAGGCTGAGAACATTGTTCTCAGAACAATAATACAATAATATCAGAGACAATATGTACGCTGAGTGCTTACTTTATTTTCTGCCGCGTTGAAAGTGTCCAAACCAAGAGACGAGCAGCTCTCCGCAGACAATACTGCCGTTCGACCGCCCACGGGGCCGGTGCGGTCCCGTGACGTTTGTCTAAAGCGAGGGTCTTCCTATGATCCTAACATTGGTTTGAACCTTACGAGCCCGAGGATAGCGCACTATCCCGGTTAGTAGCATTTTGGTCATCGGAGCTCATATTACGTTCAGAGAATCGAACTAAAGAGGTCTATGCTCACCCCGTATATAAGGCGCTGCCCGGGAACTGAGCTCGACTGATGGAAGTATCCTGGGACCTCTGATGCCAGGGACTTGAAGTCCAGCCTTTCTCGATATTACCATAAACGAAATCCACTACAAGTCGAGAAGCACAACGGCTCTAGTCGATGCATTGCAGACGATCAGTGAATGGCATTCATCACTCGCGGGGGGTCGAAGGGAAATTTCCCGCTCGACCCAGCTTTTGTTCTTACTTGGTCGACCCGTTGCGACCAGCTCTGGTGATCAGACGAATGCTACTTAACATGGCGTCAGGTCGAGATCCGAAATCATTCCATCAGAAAAACACCTAGCTTTTTTCACTGAAGTACTATTATGGACTCTGCTAACCTTCGATTCTCTTATTAAACAGAAGAGAATCAATGCTAGATCTCGACTAAGCTTGCTTTTCTCAACGATCTACGACAAGGACCTATTTGAGTTGGGGCACTATCTCGACCGATCAAGCCCATCTTATCCATTCTTATCCGATCCATTCTTATCGGACCTTCGCCCAACATGTGCTTGACGTGAGGCTTCAACGAACTTCCGCCTCGGAGACGGCGTCTCTCTCCTATGCCGACACACAACGTAAAGGAAATGAGCCACTCACGACGACTTGCTGCTCGATACCAATCTAATCACATCTCCCAACGGAGGAACCAATGTGGGGCTCGCTGCGTCGAAGTCAGAATAGGTTCGTTTACTCCAGAGCATTTCGCGGTGAATACTACACCTTTTCCCGTGCAAGTTTGACAAGTGAGCGGACAAGAATGACAATGTTACAAGCAAGTTTGACTTTGAGAATTCAAGTTTGACACTGGCAGAATATATCAGTAGTTACATTTCCGATCTCCCGCTCGAAACGTTGCTGTCAGGCAGTCGACTATCCCCATTATACGGAATTCCAGCCCATCGGCAGATTCGTCTCAGTAGATAGTGACAGCTCAATGAACCTTCATATACGATGTAACTACCGATGACGATGTTGATTCGGGGAATGTCATTTATCAGGTGCCACAAGTTCAGGCTTAGGTTCACCTAAAGGCAATACGTCAGATGTACTTGGCCATGAGGCTTGGCAATCATGTAAAGCACAATACGATACAATCCTATCGTTCCCCTGAGTGGGAGCATTCAGAAGTGTTGCTTCGATCACCGAAACAACCGAGCACTTCGATTTCTGGACGCCCCGCGCTAGTTTCGTCGGTGTACAAGTGGTACAGCACCACTCGCTGCTTCCACACTAGAAGGGAGTGAAAACCTCACGGCGTTAATGTCAGCTGAGAACCATTGACAGCAGCTCGACAATTGACTACGGTCACAGTATAGGAGACCTTCGAAGGTGCGGAGGGCGCGAACGTCTGACTTCCGATTTTAGTGGAACCATCTCACTGGGACGCATAAATGTCTCTCAAGTCGCGTAGTTTCGTCATGACACGTGGATGTGGAATCAGTACTGACGATAATTTGACTGATTATACAGTGCAGTCAAGGTTCTCTGAAATTTCAGGAAAAAAACTCCGAGAAGAATTCCATCTGCGTACAGATGAAATTTACAGAGCTCAATAATTCACTGAACACAAGACAGATTCATACAACTAACCAGCACTCGCAGATCATGTGAACAACTTCCTACCCAAACCAGCGTTCCAAGCTTTGGGTGGTGGTCTTGCAGTCATTATACCTCCTTTACGATAGAAGCAACTACCACCCCAGTTAAGACGAGTCGGAGTGTACTCTCTCAATAGAGTACTGCCAATTCTACCTCGGTGGGCAAAACTGCTTTCCGCAGTGGACCGAGGTGTGGCTGGTGACACTGGTATCGATGGTAGCGTGTCACCACCTAGGGCTGCCAGTAGCTCTCGGCTACTGCTTAAGGACTGCCCGCCGCATCCGCGTGGAGTGGAGACAGTCGACTTTGGGGATGTAATACGGCTGCCGATAGGAACCCGAGAGAGCCGATTTCTGTCGGAGAAGGATCTCACTACGGAAGACCCTCGGACACTCCTTGGAGTATCACTCTGGGTTGCTGCTGCTGAGCCTGTCCAGTTATCAATACTAGAAGTGAAAGTCCTAGCTGCGAATCTGGCCGCGCACTCGCCGCCTCTAATTTTCAGCGGAGTGAATCCGTTCGAGTCTGTCTGTACCAGAGAGTAACGTCCATGTCGACTTGTGTTATTCGAAGGTGACCAGCCGATCTCAGCAATACTGGGGATCACTGGGACGGATTCACATCGGGGCATGGAGCGAATCACTTCTTGACGAGCCAAGTCAGTACTAACTAACCTTCGACGAGAAGGCGTCACAAGGCGTTGTGTGGCCGGATCAGGAAGATGTCGCTTCCCGCTTCGATGTGAGCTCTCATACCCGCCAGACCTAGCGCTGACACATGGAGTAGAGCTTGACGTGCTCGAGCCGACTGAAGGCATCCCTTCATTGAATTGCTTAGCAACACGGTTCCTCATGTGCTCTGAGGGCCTACATAGCGATGACTATGGAATCACTGGAATGAGAGGACGACTTACATCTCTCGGGAAACGTCATGAACGTTCAGAGGGGGGACGTTGGGGCGAATAACTGCGGAACTGCTTCTTGTCTCCTGGCCGATTTTCGCCACCACACTCTCCGGCTTCGTGTCAATATGGTTCTGGAAAATCGACGAGCTCATCATTGAGCGACGATAATATTCCCGACTGGAAGCTGGACAGTCGACGGTCATTGCTTGGGAAAACAAATCAACTCTCGAGAGAATGCATTACAGGTGAGGGCCAGGCCAGTGACGGCAACCGACAGTTTGACAGAAGCACGCGCTTCTGGAAGCGAAGAGAACACAGCACTTATCAATCATCGTCAACGCAATGATGAAACACAGTCTGAAGCACGATGACTTCCAGCAGGTAAAGCACAGCAGATACAGTGACAGTGATGGGTGAATACTGGATGAATGCCCCCGTGGTGAACTAGACAAGAGCAACAATCAGAGTTTGCTAACGATTGTGCCCTGCGAGGATTTCGCCATGTCCAGAATAGAATGGAATTCATCATGAGCATCAGGTCTAAGAGCCTTCACTCTCCCCTTGATCTCATCGAGGAAGTTCCAAGCCAATACCACCACAATGAGGTCAGACTCCTCGCGCTGAAGGGCGGCCTTCGGATCGTAGACCATAAGGCCTTTGATGCCAGGGACTTGTAGACCGGTCTTCCTCGGGTTATCATCAACAACATATGCCAACTCATTAGTAACACCAGCAAAGTTGAGGAGAACAACGGCCTTAGCCGCTGCACCGTAAGCAACGACCTTACGGCCTTCCATCCACCATTCACGGAGGCGTCGGAGGAAACTTGCCGTTCGACTTCTCGCCAGAGCGGCGAAGTGCTTGTAGGTACCGATACTGTAGATACCCCTGGCCTCTTCCTTCACGAGCTCACTCCTTACCGTGTCTTCGACCAGTTCCATCCGTACGCCCTTCCTCAGACAGAAGATATACGATGTACCGTGTATACTGGGTTTAGTCACGCGTACAACAGTAAAGCCGCATCGCTCCGCTAATACAATCATCGATTTTGTAGAGAAGAAGGACTGATGCTCATGGTAGATCGTATCGAATTCTCCATTAGCAACAATATCGGCCTGACTAGTCTGTATATAGAGCCTCGACTCGTCGTTCATAACCTCCGCACAGGCTTCCAAGAACTCAACTGGCTGGGCAACGTGAGCGAAGACATTCTGCGCCGTAACAGCATCAACTAAGCCAATCTGTCCAGCAACTTGAGGCGACCAATAATCACAAATAGCACGATGACCTTTCTTGATAGTCACTTCACTCATCAGATTCACAGCTGGATCAACGCCGACGGTCTTCCATCCGATTTGGTTGAAGTAGTCCAGTAAAGTTCCGTCATTACAACCAACGTCGAGAACAACACCATAAGACTTCCCGACATCCTTCGCGACCATATCAGCGAACCATTGCGAGTACTTGGCCAAAGTGCTGGATGTACCCGACACGTAGACATAGTCACGAAAGAGGACGTCCGGGTTGACTACATGAGCCAACTGGAGATGCCAGCAGTGCTCGCAAACCTTCACTTGAAGAGGGTACGATTTAACCTCCTGTGAAGTAGCAGGATGGAAACTGTTAGCAGGCGGCTGACTACCCAAGTCGAGGACCAATCTAAGATCACTCCTACCACAACAGCGGCACTTCTTGACCTCGGTACACTCTAACGCCTTTGCAGTTCTGATCTCAGTGTATCGATCTGCAAGGCGAGGTCCAGCGAGTATGATGTCATCCCAGTTGTCTCTGATCTCCTGGCAGATACTCGCAGCAGTAGCGACGAACTTAAACGACGGGATGGCTTTGAGGAACTTGTCAGTTGAAACGCAGAAGTCGTAAGTCGTCTTAGTGAATTTCTCATTGCCGCGTGTGCCAGGGACCAGCTGCTCACGCACAAGGGGGACATTGAAGAAGTCCGAAACCTCCTTACCGAATTCATAGACCGTATGTTGAACACTGGCCAGGTTGTATACCCCACCGTCCGGTCTATAGGTCATGAGCGCCTCTACTGCTCTACAGAGGTCTTCAAGTGCCAAAACCGGTCGATGTACATGCTCAACAAAAATGCCAACTTTCTTCCGAGTGAGAGCTGAGTACGCCATAGCATTCACCATAACATCACTACGAAGGTTCAGTGACCATCCACATACTGTACCGAAGCGCAGACCATAAATTTTCTCAGTGCCACCACTCTCCCTAATGTAGTGCTCAGCAATGAGGTCCATACACTTCTTGGAAATATCATAATAGTTGTGCCCTTTGTATTTGCAGTATTCCTCATCAACCACTTCATCACTGGTGTCACCATACACGCTAGAGCTGCTGGCGTAGATCAAGACCTGGCCCTTCGGTCGCTTACAAGCCAGGAATCGTGATAGGTTACCAACAGTGTTGGCCATAGTCCCCCAAACACTGGAGCACGAGCGTACCGAAGGCATACCAGCCATCATGATAACCACGTCCTTGTCCGCTACGTCCTTCTCGAAATCGCACTCTTCCTTGCTAGAAAACTTAATAACAGGTATACCGGCTACTTTCAGAGCTACTAGCACTTGGGAGTTATCGTGGTCTACTGCGGTAACATGGCACCCTTTGTGATGCAGGTACAGAGCCAGCCTGCTGCCGATGAAACCAGCTCCACCATAAATGATAACTTTGGGCTTCTTTGCAGAAACCACAGTAGAGAGGCTAGAGAGCATTTTAATGAAAAGTCACTATAGTAATAGCCATGGTCGACCATCTACTCAAAGACGGACCCAGTGCAGGAAAAATGCATATAAGTAACATCTGTGGATAACTTGTGGAAATTCTAATTGGTTTCTGTACATTTCTACCCGAATTCGTATGTAAACTTCTATAATGCTGAACTCAGCTGAGGAAACCAGGCATATATTCCAACACTAAACGGGCCCCGTAAATGTATGGACTTGCGCCGCACACGAACATACAGTCGGCCCGGAGTCCTCAACTGATTGGGAAACACAACAGTGAGTATTGACGAAAAATCAAGTTATAAGCATACATACTTCGTCACGCAAAAACATCTTCTCTCGCATCACGGTCATTCAAATGTTCATCCTCCTCCTTAGTCTCCTCCTGCTCCTCCGGCTGAGCTTCCTTCACCTCAGCCACTACCAGGCCATCGAGCAAAGTCGTCTTGATATCATCCATGGCCCCCCGTCCCAGAGGCTCCTCCATGCGACCTATACACCTCAAGACTAAATCCTTACCGTTGTCAGGTCGCACACCGTAGTGAAGAATGACCTCTCCAAAATTACTGATACCAACCGCGTGGGACGTATCAGCGGCATCACGCTCTGGCCAGCCGGCTCGTCCCCTTTGCTCTGCCATACAGCTTTCAGCTATAGCCCACAAGAGTATATCCTCCCAGATCAACACGCGGCTCCATATAGGGTGATAGTATAGCTCCTGCATGAGACTGTGCTTCTTACCATCCTCCTTTACAACGCATATTCTCAGACTAACACCAGCGATCTGACCAGCAGTCTCGCCGTCCATCTGCTGGTCAGCCAGATCCAGCACGACCCCACAGGTCTTGGCCAGAGTCTGCAATGACGTCATGCCTCCCTCGAGGACCGCCTCACTGTGGGCTTTCGATCGCAGTTTCTTGCAGAATTGCATACGAACACCGTGGTCTCTGAGACCGGCTACGAGCTCCTTAGAGTCCTCCGCCTCTGCATCGCCTCTCCATACAGATTCGACAAACGCATCACATCGCGACACGGCCTCATTCTCATCTACTCCATTGATTTCCCTCGGTGGTTCTCTACGTTGCTCTGATGGATGCAAGCTCTCCTGCAACTTCGACCAGGGCAGCACTTCGATCCTCTCCAGCAAAGTCGCCCTGCCCACTCCCCCCTTCACCAACCTGGCTCGTTCAGCATATCTCTCCCGGGCGAACTGTGCCGTGTCACCCTCAGGATCCACCTCCTCCGCGATTGGTATGACCCGGTTGAGGTCATACTCCACATTACGGACCCACGCCATATCAAACACCAAAGTCTTCCTAAGTGCATCCTTAAAACACCGCTCTCTCTTCACTTCCATGTCCTGTAGGGCATCCATAATAATGTCCATGTGGGCTACAAATCTCTGCCGTTCAGTATTCACCTTATGAACAGCTTTCTTATAGCTTTCCTCACAGCCCGAAGCTAGTCTCGAGGACTCCGCCGCAGCTATCGCCAGTCTTAGTCTACTACTAGGGTCATGTGTAGTATCAAGGGCAAGTTCCCGCATAAGATGGTCAGCTCTCTGTGCCGCCTCGTCATACCGCAACACCGTCTCATCATGAAGTCGATACTGTTCTTGCAGAGCAGTTGACAACTTCATCCCGTCCGCCCTAATCCGCTGATAGACCTGCCCGTGCTGCTTCAAGGTCCCTCTGAGCGATGGCACCACCTCCCCAGCCAAGTCGCTCGCCAACTGTCTCGACTGCTCAGCTCTATGCATAACACTTCCTATATAACCGTCAAAGGCAGCCGAGGCCGTCGCAAACCCTGAAGGCTTGGCGTCGGCCAGGAGCACCTCTTTAGCCTTCCTGGCCAAGCGCTCCAGACTAGCCGCATAGCTCTTCTCCACATTAGCTCTCTCTTCCAACTGAAGTGTATCAACGCTGACACGAGCTCGGGATTACCTACTCGAACTACCATTATGCGTAGCTTGTCACAAAGCCTATGACTCTGCTCTAGCTGTTCATACACACCGGGGGCGTCATCAATAAGGAGCTCCTTGAAGTCAGTACTATCGATGACGAGATGACTGTCCTCAGTACCCATCTGCATAGGACCTGAAGGGCGCTTCATAACCTCGCGAACAGGTCTCAGCCATTCATATGGAAATTTCGAGATGAAGGATAGTCAATTTCCGTCTTCTGGAGCAGCTGTGATGGAACGCTGAGATTCCTTCCAGTCAAAATCGGTCATGGTGAGAGGCTCCCTACCTCCTTTTTCGATGTGAGATAAGTTTCAACTCTTGTTCGCGATTTAATTGACCTTTTGTCGACACAAGTGATTCGCGCTGTTACATGAGGTATACCGGAACCTCTCGAGGAACACATCCACAAAACCGTGATACGACTTCATCTCTTCTCATTTTCATTTCACTTGCCTTTAGAGAGAGCGACTTCCTTGGCAAATTTCCGGTTGCAGAAGCCCTTTAGAGAGGGCGACTTCCTTGGCAAATTTCCGGTTACAGAAGCCCTTTAGAGAGGGCGACTTCATTAGCAAATTTCCGGTTGCAGAAGCCCTTTAGAGAGGGCGACTTCCTTGGCAAATTTCCGGTTACAGAAGCCCTTTAGAGAGGGCGACTTCATTAGCAAATTTCCGGTTGCAGAAGCCCTTTAGAGAGAGCGACTTCGTTAGCAAATTTCCTGTTGCGGAAGCCCTTTAGAGGGAGAGCGATCTCATTAGCAAATTTCCGGTTGGAGAAGCGACCAATGATTGCCACCCGAATGACCGTCAACGACCTCGTGCCGTGCTAGTATAGACCAACGAGCTGTAGTGGTATTACTTTGCACATTCTCATCATCGGGAATTTGGTCGTCACTATTCTCAGCTATCGTGCCTGTCGTCTCTCCCTCATTTTCACCAACGTCAATATCAAATCCTGAATATTACAACAGACTAGCTCCGAGTTATGATGCAACAGTAGCAAGTTGTATTCGAAGGGGAGCAGCCTCCCACACGTTGCTTACCATCAGCTTCTACCAGGCTGCCCTGGGAGCTCACAGGAACAGCTGTTGCTACTGCTTCGGCAAGGTGCTCGTCAACCCCCTTCCCTGATTTCAAAAGGGGATCTAACCATGCACTATGTTGGCCAGTAAGATGACCCTAGTACCTACCCCCCGGGGCCGCCTCTTTGTCGCCCACTGTGGACTCCATTACTGCCGAGCTGGAAGCGGCACCTAACAGACTCTCATGTCATACCATCCATCGGCAAATTTATACCTTCCACCACCAAGTTAGCAGGAGTACCAGCAGCCGGTGAGCCAGGCATTGGTCACGAGGTCACTAACGTGAACTAAGGTGGATGGGTTACAACTAGCCTCTGCGACCATCAATGGAAAATGCAATTCAAAACACGCGTTTTGAGCGGAGCGATGCAGACGTAGAATTTGATCCTCGCACTGTCTACACATTTCCTTGCAAGAATGACAGCGTTACAAGCAAGTTTGACTTTGAGAATTCAAGTATGTCACAATGAAGGTCGACATAATACATCTGAGAGTTACCTCATCACGGTTTATGACGAGTAAACCCAAATATCGAATATTCTGTCGCTGTGGACAACTCAACTCTACGGGCGTGAGTCACTCGCTGTAACAAGAATCAGTTGGGATAAATGTAAATTACAATTGACATCTTCGTCAACGACTCGACACTATCTAGTCCCGTCTTCCTAACCCATGCAGCGAAATCGGCAGCAACGAAAACATGCAGACCCCGGAAAATTGAAGATGGAGCCTCTCGAGAAAACCACCCACCCACGGCGAACCAGAGCTTCGTTCGATGGTGGTCCTTCAACGCAACAAAAATATCGATAGAAAAACAATACAGTGAGTGGACTTGAGCGCATACTCCTCACTGTGTTGGGAAGCCAGTGAGATAGGTATGGGCTCCAGCACCGGTTGTAAGGCCGGCTCCAGTGGCAGGCGCCTGGCGAGCACTGGAGGCAGCAGAGGGCGAGGTGACTCCTGTGTGATGCATTGGAGTAGCAAAGGGATCTGACACAGAGAAGACTAGTGTTGGGATAAACTTTTGCTTGCCTCAGCTGAGCTCGGCAATTTACATACGAATTCGGGTAGAAGTGTACAGAAACCAATGAGAATTTCCTCACTTTTCCTCAGAATTTTCAAAACGTCACCTACACATGTAGTTGACCATGTGCATATTTTCCCACACCAGAGAAGACTCTCTCCGAAACAATACTCCCTCCATTGCGAATTATAGTGGCTTCCCTCTCAGCTAGGGTAGTAGCTATTACCAGTCGTCCCCAGAATCTGCTTAGGCTTAGCCCTCTTCTGTATGCGAGGAGGCAGAGCCCTTCTAGCCCTCCCAGGATGCCCAAACGCCGGGTGTGCAGTTTGATCTGGTAGAGGAGATGCGATAGAAGACATATCACTAGGTCGCGCCATCGGCCGAGGTGGAACGACTAAAACAAGTCATAGTATTATGCGATTTCACTGCGCCACGAAATCGCCAAGCCCACCTGGCCCAGTAGCATTAGCGACCTCCTTTCCCTCCGCAGACGATACTTCAAGACTACCCTCTGCCGTGTGCATCTCTGCCGAAGCGGTGAGCTTGTCGTAGCTGTCAGCACTATGAACTTGTGATGATACCGGGGAAGGAATCGGAGAACCGACAACTTGTGAATGCGCCATAGTCTTATTGGCGTTTGCCCTCGTCGACCCTTGGGGGTCACTCGCCTCATTCGAGCTCGCCATCCCGGAATCCGTACTGTACCCCAGGGGCACGCGTGACAAGTCCTGCTCAGCAGCAGGTGGGAAATTTTGTGGCGCAGTGACGGTGTTGGGTGGTAACTCTTCCTTGGGGGGAGCGTATGAAGACTGATCGCTCATGACCGTCGTGGAGCCCGCCGTGGCTGCAGCCACACTCCCCGCGCTCTCCCGCGGTTCACCCGCGTATTCTGAAGAGCTCACATCAGCTACATCTCCATCATTATCAGACACCGTGAGATCAGCAGAGGCTGTCGGGGCCTCTGGCAACTTGATAAAGGGAGAGGGAGGACCTGGGGAGGAGACGATACTCTACAGAAACTATTCAGAACCGTCGAATATCCGCCCGAACTTCAAAGTGAAATATGGGTGATTTCGCGTGAATATTGTTACTACCCCCAACGCTCCTCCTAGTAAAGTCCTCAAGGGATTCATCGTTCAGTGGAGGCAGCCTGGCCCGGGTCTCCTCGTCCAGATGGGGCAACTTCTTAGCCGCTAAGTGCTCGATCATCTGAAGTGACAAAAAACGTCGGAGAAGACACGCCTGGACAGAAGACTCTGTTGGAAGTCGTCAATCAGAGCATTTAAGTGCTCTTCTATACGCAAATCGATTGAACCCTCGAATGCTTGCTTCTACTTTTGATACGACAGTATTGGGTTATACGCTCACTTTCCTCAGCTGAGGCCAAGAGTTGCCTCACTTACAAATTCGGGTAATAGTGTACTGAAACCAGTGAGAATTTCCCTAAGAATACCAACACATGTAGTTGACCATGTGCATATTCCCCCACACTGTGCTCGAGACAAGTTTCACATTACGAGATGTCCCTCCGTGTTAAAAGAACGACAAAGAAATTGCAAATGTTGTTTATAACCTGTTGACTAGAAGTCAAAAGCTCATAATCAGCCTCGTCCCTCTCTGCCTTCAGCTGCGACACACCAGACTCCAGAGAATTGAGTTGATTCTAAAGAGAGAGGTATGGATGTATAAGCACTGATGTACGCCCTACTTGCGTGTCCGCTATCAAGCTCTGAAGAACGTCATTTCCGTGGCTGGCCATTTGCACTAGGTAGTTCACCTACGTCAAAGAGGCCAAATAATCCTACTTGGAGTTTCCTATGTACTACTTGTTGCATCATACTCTGCATTTGCTCAGCTCCGACCGCTCCGGGTGTCCCTTTCCCTCGGGGAGTAGGTTGGGTCAGCTGTAGGGCCTTCCTCGACTGAACATACCTCATCAAGCAGTCCCCCTCGCGGCCCTTTGGCCCACGACTCCACCCAAAGAGCCTTCGGGTGAGGATGAAAGTGGCAAGAATGACGAGTAAGGTCACTATCTCGGGTACTGGTGATGGGTACCCTGCACTCTGCAGGAGCCTGTAGTGTGATGGCGCCACATAGGCATCCCAAACCTTCCCCGCTAGAACTCTGGACGTCTCGATATGGGAGCTTAGGTCAGTCATCGAGACGTTTGCCAAGGGTGATGTTCCGCTGACATTCATAGCAAATAAAACTGATCGCAGCTACAATGTTAACAGGGTCTTACGGGGGGCTCGGTCGAAGTGCTCAATCAGGCGAAATTATGATGGCAATGAAAATCTCGAAATCCACAAGCAGCGTGGCAGTCGAGGGACTCGCCGCTACTACGATCACGTTGAGATACGACCATCCGTTATGTTCGTTCTGATAGCGGAAGATATGTTCTTGCATACCTAGGCGAAGGGTAACACCAATGCTCCATCAGACAAAATGATATGATGGTAGCGCCTTAAGCGTAGCATCTACGACACAAGAGGTCCCGGGATCGAATCCTGTGTGAGGCTCTTTTCTCATCGCCCGTTACGGAACCCCGCACGTATGAACAAGTGGAGCGTTGCTTGGTCACAGACTAGCTAAAGGGAAAAAGGTGGATCGGAAATGTGTTAGATTGCCTATATGCATTACTCCTGCTGCTTTAATCCTTTCGCTATTGCCAATGACCCTATAACTTAAAAAGCCTTCCTTAAGGAAGGAGCGCAAGGTCCTCAAGGAAGGAGCGCCTCCTTATGACTAAGGAAACCTTCCTTATGGAAGGAGCGCCTCTTTATAACTTAGGAAGCAAAGGAGCGTAAGGACTCCTTGAAGTAAGGAGGCTAAGGATCTTACGTAAAATCCTCAAGGAAGGAGCAGTTCCCGAGTTATAGGCCCAATAGTAGGTATCAGTAGTATGAATATAAGCTAATGGGAAATATTTCAACCTGCAGCCCTGAACTATGGACAGTGGTGACACCTCTCCCCTTTTCAACGCCTATTTCACCAATAGTAACTTCTATTTGGACGGATGGACGAAACAGAATTAAAAATACTCTTCAGGAACTTCAATTTCAATATGAGCTGAAAATAAGAACTTCAATTTCAACGCAATGCCATAGGAACTTCAATTTCGTTGTTTTAGTGAAATCAGTTTCATATGTGAGAATTCCTCTTCCGACAAACGTGTTTTATAGCACAACTCAACAGGTATATGTGTTGCGAGAATCACCATGATGATAAGAGCTTATATGGAAGTTATTATATTTCAAATAGGCGCGAAAAAGGTGTAGTAGCGCCCAGTTTTCCAAAGAATCTCATAAACCTGAGAGCATGGCCGCAAAGGACAGGGAAATTTGAGAGTTACTGGTTAGCACGGCCAGCCTTAGGTATTGCTGTGATCAGGGTCTCACTATGACGTTGATAAGCCAAACGTAGCGTCATGTATAAGCATGCGGTTCATGGTACTCGCAAGATACTATTACCTGCTACTATTACCACCCTCTAGAGTGTATGAGAAGTCCGGTAGCGCAAACATTCAATTTCCGATGACATTCCGTCATAACATTGTATTCTGTGTACTACGCTCATCATAACTATGATTTTTACGAAGTGCAATCGCAGACATGGGGCTGTATCCTAGTCACACTCGTCGCCTCGGCGTTTTCAATTCTGGTGACGATGACGGGAGGTGGAATTTTGGGTTGTTCAGTATGCCCTAACATCGGTCATCAGCGCATTGAAGTAGCTAAGCTGGTGTTGAACACAAGTCATTTTCCATACCATAAATTCTTGAATTGACTGAGTTCACCATGGGGAGGCCATGAGCAATACAGCCTAGTGCTGGTCACCCAGAATGGGATGTGAGGAAGAGTACGAGTTATGGTATGCATTAAACAGTAGTAAGACGATGTCGTTGCCTTCCGCTGGGGGATTGCTGAACAATTTATACGCTGATTCGAGCAGTGGCTCGGAGACATCCGACTACACCACTGATGATGACAGTGAGTATACGGACACTGAGGATGAGGTACTGCTAGGGGCCACTTCACATTGCCGTTCATGACTCACATTGCTCTGTTGATACTCATGAAAACTAAAGTTTAGGGCTGAATGTGGCTGATCGATGAGGCTTCCTATGCATCATTTCACTTCCTTCAGAGCGACAATGGCGAACTGCCTGATGACGAGCCCGCGCCCCCACCACGACCTATCCGACCGTTGAATGGCAAGATACGCGTGCACTGGGCCAAGTCTGATGATGGTAGTAGCATCGGGAGTGTATGGTCATTCGGATCCTTTTCATTTCAGATATGGACGTCTCGGATTTTTATGATAAGCTCGGCCCTCCGGCAATGGAGTTCCCTTTCGAATTGGACGACTTCCAGAAGCGAGCTGTGCTACGGGTCTCCCAAGGAGACAGTGTTTTTGTAGCCGCACATACGAGTGCAGGGAAGACCGCTGTAGCTGAGTAAGACTGCGGGGGGAAGATACGCTTTGCGCGGATGATATACAGTAGTAGATCAAACAATATAAAAGAATAAAACAGGATGGATATGTTATTGGGAATATCATATTATCCCTTTCTTTATGAGCTATGTTATATCCTATACCTAATCATTAATATTAGACTATAGTATTTGTTTGTAAGGATATATCTAGTATATATATTGGCATTGTGAGAATCTATGTTCGCTCTTCTCAGTCGAGTTCAGAAATCTCCTCAATTCAGGTGGAAGTAGTGTACAGAAACCAATGAGAATTTCACTAAGTTTCCTCACAATTTTCATAATCGCAAATGCACATGCAGTTGATCATGTACATATTTTCTCACATATTTCTACATATTTTACAGTGAAGTTCCACTTCAGTTGTAGCTATCAGTAGTGAGGTATGTGATTAGCCGATAAATGACAGCGGTGCGGATCGAACCTGGGTCTCATGGTAGAGAGGCCGCTGTTTGCCAGATATGCAATAGCTGATGCTATAAAGCAGGGTGGTAGGGCGATATACACGTCGCCTATCAAGGCCTTAAGCAATCAGAAGTACAGGGAGTTCACGCAGAAGTTCGACTCTGTCGGCGTGGTCACTGGGGATGTCTCCATCAACCCGTTGGTGAGATAATCTTCCTCCTTCTTCGCACGATATTGCTATCACTGTACTAGGCTAATGTGGTTATTATGACGACGGAGATATTAAGGACGATGCTGTATAGAAAGGATGAGAACTTGGCTAACATCAAGACTGTTATTTTCGATGAGGTGCATTTTGTCAACGACCCCGATAGAGGAGTCGTTTGGGAGGAATGTATTATTCTCATGCCAGCCGATGTGAGTGAGGCGGAAGCAGCAGCCTAGGAATGGTGGGGCTCAGGTCCCAATGGTAATGCTATCGGCTACCGTACCAAACTATCGTGAGTTCGCGGATTGGGTGGGCCGGACCAAGCAGCGTACTGTGTATACAGTGAGCACTGCGTACAGACCAACGCCTTTGTGCCACTATCTATGGTGGAAGGATAAGCCGTATTTGCTTATGGACAACAAGGGAGTCTTCAATACTGCTACGTATAGGAAAATGTGAGTTGCCGTTCACAGTCTCCAGTGCGACATGTTACGAAGAGTATATTCTCTCGACGAATTTGAGTTTTCTTCATCTCATTTGAGGCTGCCAGCAGAGATACAGTGCGAATACGATGATACCACTCTTTGAGTAACTCCTGTGTTATATGATGATACTCGTCTGCGAGGAAACTTTTCGTCCTTTTCACGTGCCCGAGAAAGAATCAATGGGAATTTTCTGTGGTCAGATACGATGAGATGAGGGCATCTGAGGCCCCAGCGCCGAATACTAAGCAGACAGTTGGGAAGGGCAAGGGCAAGGGCAAGGGCAAAGGAAAGGGCAAGGGTGTTCACCGAGCGCCAGCACCAAAGCAGCCCCTGACGGGAGAGTCCAAGATCAGACTGGAAACTCAGAAGCTGCAGGGTATGATTAAAGCCTTGGAAACTGAAGACAAGCTACCTGCAACGGTTTTCGTATTCTCGCGAGTGCGGTGCGAAAGATACGCGATGGGAATGCCGCATCTCGATTTGCTTAGTGGCAGCGCTGAGCGATCGAAAGTGCACGTGTTTTTGAAGGAATCCTTTTCCAAGTTGGACGAGTCCGACCGGGATCTGCCCCAGATACAAGCAGTGACCGACTTGGCCCTGAGGGGCATCGGGGTTCATCATGGAGGGCTGCTGCCTATTGTGAAGGAAGCTGTGGAGATCCTGTTCTCTCGTGGTCACATAAAGGTGCTTTTTGCTACTGAGACGTTTGCAATGGGCGTGAACATGCCAGCTAGATCGGTCATCTTCTCATCGATACGCAAACACGATGGGTCGAAGTTTCGGTATCTGCTGCCAACAGAATATACGCAGATGTCGGGTCGGGCAGGGAGAAGGGGCCTTGACAGCGTCGGGAATGTGTATGTCCTAGCTGCTGAGGAGCTGCCGGATCTGAAGGCTTTGACTACGACGATGACTAGCAAGCACACTCCTCTGCAAAGTCAGTTTAAGTTGACTTTCCAGATGCTACTGCAAATGGCAAAGTTGACACATTGGAAAGCGGAGGATTTAATGAGCAGATCGTACCTGGAAAATGCGAGGGCGATGCAGCTACCTACAGCGAAGAGAGATCTACAGAGGTTGAAAAAGAGGCAGGGGGATTTGCCCCGGCTGGAATGCGTGTTAGGGGAGGAGGATATGCATAGATACGCCAAGTTGGAATTGAAGTCCCGGCATATGGCCAGCGAGCTGTACGGTAAACTCTTCAACACTGATCATAAGAAAGTCTTCTGTCGAGGGCGACTGGTCATGGTGTGGAGTTTGCCGAACATAAGGGTGTCGTCTCCAGCGGTGATACTTGGGGCAAGCCCACCATCTATGAGCACCTCAGTGATGGCAACCGTAGATGTGTTGGTGGTGTTGAGGAGGCCTGTCCCTGACAGCACTCCGGCTGGTGATAATGGATACACTGTGAGGATCAAAAATCTGCCGGTGAAGTCAGGCTTGCTCTTGGTCACTGATCATTGCCTTCCTCATGGAGTTGACTTTTCTGATGCGTTCGGTCTGGCTAGAGAGCTCCGACGATGTGAAGAGGCAGGACAGTTCGATGAGCCCTTGGAGCTTGGGAAAAATCTGAAGCAGATTCAAACGGAGTATTTTGATACGCTGATTGGCGTTAAAGATCTCACTCTCACCAAGATGCATAGCAAATGCCATCGCTGCCATCTGCGGCAGGAGCATTTCGATCTAGTGGTAGAGGAGGGGGAGATTACGCACGACATTGAGGACCTTGAGTTCAAGATTGATGATTCTTCGTTGTATCTGGCATCAGCTCGAAAGAGGATGCTGAGAGTGCTCATGGACTTGGACGAGCTCGATAAGAATACTATGCAGATAACGTTGAAGGGAAGGGCGGCTAGTGAGTTGGTGTTGGGTGATGAACTCACTCTCACTGAGCTTCTATTCTGCAATGAGCTCGGCGATGCTGATGTGCCCTCTTGTGTGGCACTGGTCTGTTGCTTTGCGTGCGACTCGGGCGTGTCGCAGATGTCGCATGAGGCGGCTGAGGTCCTCCTACCTCCAGAAACGGTGAAGCTACTGGAGAGAGCGATGGAGATGCACGGCAAAGTGGCGGATGTGTTGACCAAAGAAAGGGTGGAGACAGACTGGACTGAATTTGACAAGCAGTTATGTCTCGGCATAGCCCCACTGGCTCATGCCTGGGCGAGAGGGGTGCCCTTTGCTGAACTGATGACCGCCGAGCCGATCTCGAGCAAGGACGATGAAGAGGTCTATTACTCTCTGTGGAAACCAGGTGACAAACCGCTACAGGAAGGAGCTGTGGTTAGGAGTATCCAAAGATGCGACGAGTTGTTCCGACGCTTGGGGAAGGCCGCTGAGGTCATGGGCTCCACTGAAGTGGTGAATAAAGTGGAGCAGTGCCGAGAGGCCATACGTAGGGATATAGTCTTCGCATTGAGTCTCTACCTAGACCGAGATGGTGAAAAGCAGCAGTCGAAGCAAGCAGTGGAGGCGGAGGGCGAAGGAAGCGCTCCCGTTGATACAGTATCATAGTGTGTTTCATAACAATACTAAAAGTGTTTAGTTCCGTTACATCATCTTTCTGATGAAGTCCGCCGAGATGTTGTCGTATCAGTTGCGTGAATCCAATTTCGGTGTGTGGTCTGCTGTAAAGGGTGTTTCAAAACTACGTGGTTTAGGAATTCCAGGTTCTCCAAGTTGTCCACGAAGTTTTGAAACACCCTTTACTATCGAAGGTGGACATGCCTATATAGTTCTTACGGTATCGTCGTCATTGATGATGTTAATCATAGGTTACTCGATTGCCAAAAGTTAAAGGTTTCGGGCAGTCTCTACTTTGTTGGCTTTGTTGAGGAGCACGTAGATGATGTTGTTGCTTTGACGAGGAGCTTATTGTTCATCTTATATTCTCAAATTCGTTCGATAGTTTACGGACCACATTGTCGAGGATCATATAAGGTTCATGACTCGCCTCGCTATGACGAAGGTTGGCAAGCTTTGGGGGAATTCGAATGTACCGGAAATGGCGACAAAACATCAAGAGGGGTGTGAGGATCAGTTCGCAGGGATCTTTACAACCAACGAGTTAGATAATAGTTTCTAACGGATTTGTGTATCACAACAGACCCTTCCTCTTCATATGTAGTCGGTCGCAGCTGTGAGGAACGTCATGCTTACCTTCTTGCAATAATGTTCTAGTTGGTGTTTGTATCTGCATCGTACCCGTCCGGGTGGTAGCATACTCTTTGCGAGCTCCGACGCGCAGTGGCAAGTACATCCCGAAGCGCACGCTGGCTATGCTACTTTTGTTGTCCTATTTCCTCCACTGGCTTCATCGCACAGTGATAGTGCGAGTCTGAGAGTATCTCGGTTGGGCTATGCAGCTTAGCCCGGAATTTCTGATTGGAGTGGTGCTAGGAAATGAGAGTTCACCGCGGGGTTGGCAAAGATGCAAAAACGTGGACAACTGCCAACGACATAAAATTATACAAGTTCTAATTCTCTCTCCATCGCTTCTTTTCATCGTGTAACGTGTTTCTGGTGCAGTATTAATCTAGTGTTTGTCAATTTCAAATCCCCTCGAGTGGTTCAGCTCTCCATCTCACCACATAGTTGGGAATGACAGATGTTTTCCGGTCTCAGCCGGTGTCTGCGCCACCGATGAGGTCATCGCAAGGACTAGCTCCCATACAGCAAGGCAAACCTCCTATAGTGCTCGAGGAGGAGGTGCCGCCTCCAACTGCCACGTGCCTTTTATCGAGAGTTGTCTCCATTAGGTTGACGAAAATTATGAACCTACACAGGAGGAGATCCTCGAGTACGCCGAGTGGATCGGCATGGACGTCGCTGTAGATAAAGACCTTTTCTGGATCGCAAAAGAGGGTATGATCGTCGTTCGATTTTGAGGCGAAGCGAAGCTTTTTCTCTTGGAAGGCTTGAAGGCCCCTCTGCCGGCCCCTTGGAAGCCCTGCCAGACTGGGGAAGGGGATATATTCTACTTCAACTTTGAGACTGGACAAAGCGTCTGGGACCACCCATGTGATGAATATTATAAGAACCTCTTCAGTGAGCACAAGCAGAGGAAGGTCACCAGTGGTGGGTTGAGGCCGTCTCTTCTTCGGAAGCACCCTGCATCTTAGATGAACGGAAGATTGACGGCAATGAGCAAGCAACGACCGGGAAGGAGAAGAAGCACAGGGAGTCCAGTGTTGGTGGAGAAGGGGTAAGTGCTGAGCTGAATTGCAACTGGAATCGGTCTGTTTAGACTATTGGATTATCCTCGCCATCGTTGCCTCTCGGTGGTGGTGGGAAGCCTCGCGTCGTTCCGCCACTACTGCCTGGTCTTGAAGACCTCAAAAGGCCCTCACTGGACATCCCCACGGCCCGGGATGCTATTGGAAGGTTGGACGCAGTTTTTACTCATGCTCAACCACATATGTTGGTGTCAAGAAAATCTGAGGATTTTTTTGGGGAATTCTCATTTGATTACATTTCTATCTCGACTCCTATTATCAGTGAAGAAACCAAACATACATGCCAACACTTGTTGGACAAGATGCCCCACTTCATAACAACTCCGATCGATCAGGTCACCACCCTTCACACACGACTTGGATCATGCTAGAGAGGCGTCCAGTATGCACGCTGAGAATGGTAGAGAGCTCGCCGCGCTCGAGGAGAAGCACGCTGCTGCTGTGGTCGCGATGAAAGCGGATCAGGAGAGGGTAAGGTCTTCGATGGGAGATAGGATTGCAGTTTCAGATTTGTATCAGATTGTAAACAATACACGAGCAGAGTTTAATCGACTTGTGTCGCAACTGAGAGAAACTCACGAGAAGGAAAAGAAGAAACTACTGATGGACTTTGAAAGCGAGATGCGTTCAGAGAAGAAGAGGCTGGAGGAGCAGCTCGGGAGGGAGAGGGCGCGGCTGGAGCAGGCGAGTTGCTTTTGTGTGGCAGTGTTGCAACTTATCGTAGTCCTCCAGGAGCTACGTAGAGCTGTCGAAGAGGAAGTGGAGGGGCAGCGAGAGAGTCTGATGAAGGCAGCCCAGGAGCGGATGGAGAGGGAGGTGCTCGAGAATGAACGGTGGGGACTAATGCTGTGCAGTTGAAGACAGTGTGTATTTTCATCATGCAGATCCTGTCGGGAGGCGGAGCTCTCTGTTATCAACGGCGATCATGCCAAGGAGATAGAGCGGCTGGTGGAAGAACACTGCACGGCGGTTCGTGAACTACGACAGCAGCAGGAAGAGGAGATACAACGTGTCAGGAAGGAGCATCAGCGTGTGAGACCCATGGTGTCGTTGGGCTCACGGTGGCCCAAGAATGGGAAGAATCTATCATTTTTCCTATCCCCGGGAATTGAACAGCATTCTCGCCAGATGGGCCCACCTTGGTTGGGATCACTACTGGCCTCCCCCTCAGGTGCTCAGTACAGTACAAGCGGACGAGGAACGACAGCGTACGTCAACTGCTGGGGAGGTGGGCGATCGGGGCCTTTGATAAGCAACGTATTTTCATTCAGGAAGTGGATCGTCGAGATATCGAATCTCGCATAGAGCGGGAACTTCGACCTGAAATGGAGCGACGCCTTCGGCTGGAAATGGCATGCAAAGTTGAAGCGGAGGTTCGGCCGGTGATTGAGCGAGATGTGCGCCAGGAGGTGGAGGAGGCTAATGCTTGTCGGAGAGAGGAAATCGAGAGTGAACTAAGGCACGAAATCGAGTTGGAACTGAAGCAAAGTGGGGATGTTATTGAGGCGGTAAGACAAGACCTCCGCTGTGAACTTCGTGGTCCAATAGAAGAGGAGCTCCGTGCAGCTCTAGAAGCCCAGCTGAGAGAAGATATACGGCGAGACCTCGAGAGTGAGATGAAGTCGTTGAGAACGGAGTTTGAGAAGGAGGTCCAAGCCACTGTGGGAGAGGGGGCGCTCTCTTTGCGAGGAAGTTCGGTCCTTCTGGATCTGCCCGACCTGTCCGCGATAAGCAATTATGAAGGGCAGAGAGAGTCTCGCGTGAGTGGGGACTTTGAGGGGATACTTCGAATCCTAGGGGAAAGGCAGAGGCAACTCGAGACGCGCGAAAATGATGCCGCAGAGGCGCTGTCTGAGAAGGAGGAGAGGATTGCTGCAGCGCTACGACGGCTTCATGAGACTCGAGAGCAGCTCACAGTGACCGAGGCTGATGCCACTGAGAAGGGGCATGAGATAGCTAGATTGAGACGTGAGCTGAGCAGTCGGGAGAAGATGACGACAGCGCTGAGGGACCAGGTTACGTTATTGGAGGCTGAGGTGGAGACCGAGAAGAGGAATGCTCAAGCGAGCGGGTCGGAAGCTATGCGAGAGGTGAGAAGACGCCAAAGGCTTTTGGATGAACGCGAGACTGAGTTGGAGGTGAAGGAGATCAGGCAAGGTGAGGTCATGGCTCACCTGAGGGCCAGAGAGGCAGCTTTGATCACTGAGAAGAAGCGCCTCCAAGATGATGCGAATAAACTGGAGGCTGAGGCGGCGGAGATCGCAACAATGCAGCAGACGCTGAAGAGTATAACTCATGAAGTTAAGCACGCACAGGAGATTTACTCGCCACCAGGGGTAAGGGAACCTCCGATGACCTCGAGGCCAGCTACTGATGAAGTTATTATGACGGAACTGGGTGAAATCAAATCGGCCATAGTTCAGTTGTCAGCTCGGGGCGCTAGACCGTTCGGAACACGCAACAGTTCCTCACACATGCGCTCGGACAAGGCGACCGATAGTGATACTGCTCCGGAAAGTTGCAAGGAGAAAGAGGATGGGTTCATCCATTGGTTATGCGCTGAGAGAGAGGCAATAGAAGCTGCTAAGAAGCGAGTTGCTGCAGAGCATGCTATGTGCAGGGCGGAGAGATCTCGACTTGAGATGGAGAGGCAAATATGGAGGGATCGAATGAGAGAGGCGAAGCGTAACGGAGACCACAGGGCTAAGGGGGAGCTGATGCGAGCCAAGTCGGCGCTGGATGCTCGAGCAGCGGAGTACAACGTGTCTGTTGCGGAGTCCCAGGTGGAGTCGGGCAAACTGGAGGAGAGGGAGCGAGCGCTGGAGAAGTATTCGGCCTCTCGCATGTACAGAGAGAAGCGGCTGAATCAGAACAGACACTATTGGGGGAGAATTCCGCCACCGTTGCCTTTCGGCTCTGAATGAGCAGAGTACAGTATACCACAATTGAAGCATTGATAGCATTATAATTCTAATACATGCGTTTATTATTGGGTGAGTCCATATAGGGTCTCAACATTCGGAAGTATATCTTACTTGAGTTTTAGTGGTGATGTGATAGTATGATACTGGTAGTACCCCATTCTGGTAGCTAACTCGTTACACTAACTCAACTCTGCAATACGACTGCGTATCTGCTCACTACGATTGGACGAAGGAGAATCGTGTCGGTATCCTCCTGCCTTTGTACAGCCAAACGCTCCACCGTGTTCGACTCCTAGTATCTGCTCTTCTCAAGGTCAAATTCTGCAGAGAGTCTATCATAGAACACCCTATCATCCTATCTTTGACACTGTCAACAAAGGAGTCCAATTGCAAATACAGGCCCGATCGCAGCTTCCCACCCAAAACTCGTTAACTCAACTCGTCCCGCCCTGCCGACTTCATCTGTGGCCATCGGACGGCCATCCTCACACAGTTGAGGATCGCACGTCAAGATGCAGACAACCAGAAACTACCGGGTGGCAGAGGGTGGGCAAAAAGAGCCAGCACACTCACCAGCAACTGATAGATGATAAAGTAAGGTATCAATAATCCTCACACTAACACTTAGGACCAGCAGCAACAACATCGCACGAAATACACAGGTTCAGAGTAACTAGCTTCGCGGGCGA